GGTCCATCAAGTCGTCTCCCCTGGTGGGGCCGTGCACCTCCTGGATTACATGGAGGTCCTGCATTCTGGCTAAGAACCTACGTGAGCGGTCAGACCTGGCTGACTGCTCTTCCCAGCAGATGTCCGGGAAGTTCAGGTCCCCCATGACTACCACATCCTTAGACTTCACTACCTCTGTGAGCTGACCTAAGAATTCTTGGTCGAGCTCCTGCCCTTGGTTGGGAGGTCTGTAGTAGATCCCCACTGTTAAGTCTTTTTCCCCTCGACTGCCTTGTAATCTAACCCAAAGCACTTCAGAGTGCCCTTCCTCTGATTCTTTATTAATTGATGAGGATGTGTATTCCTCCTTAATGTAGAGTGCCATATCCCCACCTTTCCTCCCTGTTCTGTCCCTCCTGTACAGCCTATAGCCCTTGACATTAACCGCCCAGTCATGTGTTGAAATGGTCCCCAGTCAATGAGATGAGATTCAACAAGGAGAACTGCAAAGTCCTAGACTTGAGGCAGAAAAACTACATGCACAAATACAGTCTGGGGAATGACTGGCTAGACTGCAGTAGTACAGAGAGACTGGCTAGGTTGCAGTACTGTAGTCTGGGGGTTACAGTGGACCATAGGCTGAATATGAGCCAACAGTGTGCGCTTGTGGCAAAACAATAAAAAAAAAAAAAAAGCCCAATGGCATACTGTGTTGTATTAACAGGAGTGTTGCTTGTAAATCAAGGAAAGTGATTCTTCCACTCTATTTAGCACTGGTGAGGTTTCACCTGGAGGTCTGTGTCCCTTTTTGAAGTTTTGGGCCCCACACTTTAAGAAGAATGTGGACAGTTTGGAAAGAGCCTAGTGCAGGACAACAAACATGGTTGGAAGCTTGGAAGACCAGACTTAAGAGGAAAGGCTGAAAGAACTAGGATTATTTAGCTGGGAGAAGAGAAGATTGAGCAAGGATTTGATAACATTCTTCAAATACCTGGAGGGTGATTATAAAGAGGATGGAGATGGACTTTGTATCTTTGTCTGTAAGGGACAGTACTAGGAACAAGGGCTTCAAGCTGCATTATAGGAAATTTAGGCTGGAGGTTAGGAGGAACTTTTTGACTATGGGATGGTCAGGCATTGGAACAGGCTCCTTAGAGAAGCTGGGGGCTCTCCATACTTGAACATTTTCAGAAGCAGTTTAGAAAGACATTTGGCTGGGATGATTTACTTAGGGACGATCCTGCCTTGAGCAGGGGGCTGGATTAGATGATCCTATGAGGTCACTTCTAGCCCTGTTTTCCTGTGATCCTATGAACCTCCTGGTAACCCAGTCACCCCTGTGAAAGTGCTGGAGGGAGCCACTTTTAACCGTCAGCTCCTCACGCTCTATTGTGCTAATGCCAAAATCCCGTGCCTTAGCAAGCTCGCTCTAGGTTTTTGACAAAGCAGGGGCAATGAGCACATCGTTGTCACCATTGTAGCATTAGCACAGCGTAAGTAGCTTTGGCTTTCAGTCCTGGCTAATTTGCTTAATTACCCGTTCTTGTCTGGGTTCTGTCCAGCTGGGTTTCTCAGGAAAATAGCTAGATCCTGACTTAGGACCCAGCATATTACACCTGACAAACTGGTTGCTGGATGGATGATGTTTTTAGGGAGAAACCGCTCAGCTGAGGTTCAGAGCATTGTGCCCCCCTCCCCTTTCCCACGCCCTACCCCCTTGCACTAGGTTATTAATATAGTACTAGTTGGATGATAACTAGTTTCCTTCAACTATTAACATATGTCTGGGAATCATTAGGTTAGGTGAAATGGCAAAAGCTACTGAGACGCTCCTGATAGGTCTCTCACTATGTCATGAAGACAGTTTTACCCTAGGACTTCATCCAAAATTTCCACTTAAAGTGGTTCCAGATTTCCTCATGTCATCTCCTCTAGTGAATTATTTGTTTCTCTTTCCTAAACTATACTTTACCCTGGTGAAACCAAACTGTGATGTAGAACAGTAACACAGAACTCATTTCATGCCTGTAACATTTTACTCTTAGTGCAGGACTCCATATTGGATTCCAGTTCAGCAAGGCTTCACTGCAACTACTGATCAAGTAGGACTGACTCCTCCTTACTAGTTTTCCACCAGTTAAACAACAGCTTGTTCCTCACTGAGGGTGAAATCCTTATGGACAATCATTACTCTAAAAAGAAAAAGTGTTGCTTACGCATCTGTAATTGTGGTTCCTCAAGATGCACTGTGCATGTGGATTGCACATGCCTCCCCTCTGCCTCTCTGATTTGGATAAATAGAGCCCCCATGGGACTGTTTATTTGCAAAGGAGCAGTGTTGCTTGAGGATGCCTTGTCCTTTTGTAGTGTTGGTTACAAGATGGTGTGAGGTTATGTGGAGTTCAAGGGCTGCTTCAATGGGTACTGCTGTTCAGAAATGGGCAGACTTGTAGGTATAATGGGGGAATGCATGTGGACAATGCATTTCAAAGAACCACAGTTTTGAGCTAAATGACTATGCTTTTATTGACATGTAATATAGGTAAATAAAGATTTAATTTATGGCCTGAATTGTAATTTTGGGTGCCCTGACACATGCTTGAAAGGGCTCTGATATCAAGTTTTTTTTCTCAGCAGTTTCTGAAAATCTGATGTATTTGGAGTGTGCCAATTTGGCCCCGAAGTCTCTTGTCACTTTGTAAAATTTAAGCCCAGGTACTGAAGAGTGTTAGTGGAATTATTTAGAGCTTTTGCCTAGCTCAAAGTCAGGCTCATTTCTAAACAGAGTAATTGGAAAGTGTGGCATATTTGTGTGGGTTGTCATTTTTAAATTGCTATTTTCTCTTGGGCAAGCACTACATCACTAGGGTGCCATACAATAGTCAGGCCAGTTTATCTGTCCAGATGTCATGCTCATTAATCCCAAGATGACAGCTAATTATAGAGCCACATGGACCTAGCCACAGCTCCAGAGCTTCTCTAGCTGATACATGATGTTCAAATATTTACAAGGAATGGGTTTGAATGGTAAATGTGGATGGTAAACTCTGTAGGTGAAAGAGTGTGTAGCTTCTGTAGGAGGGAAGAACATGCTATTATAGAGCTGAATATTGGTAAGTCAAATGCTATGTTGCAATGTACTGATCCAACCGAGAGTTATAGGACACAGCACACTTACATACTCTGATGCTACGTAGTGTTGTGCTGTACTTCTGTCAGATCTTGAAACCTTCAATAAGGTCTGGTCAAGTTATACTTAAAAGGAATTAAGCATTTTCCTCAGGAAACTATGTTCATGAGTCAGTAGGTGGCAATGTTCCTTTTGAATCAGTGCTATCCCACTGCACCAGAAAGGTGTTGAGAGAATGTTTTGCAACTGTAGGTGTTCATGGAAGAGCCTTAAAACTAAATCCTGATTGCTTTATGTTCATTATGTATTCCATTTAGAAGAAATATTTGTACTATCATTCTGGCTAAATTCTTGTTTGGGTTTTTAAACTGAACTTATCAGCATTCCTCTTGCAGTTCCAGTTTAATATGGTCTTCATTTTTTTTGGTCCTCAACTTTAGGTGCTGTTTAACATTTGCCTGTGCTCCTTCCCTTCTAATCAGCTAAGAACTTATTAAGGAAAGAAATTTCATGCATTTATCTCTTCCTTTATGTTTAACATGTGTTAGGAATTGCTGGAATGAATTCTACAAAATGTTAAAGCTACTGCTTCTGGACCAAGCACTATAATAGTATTATTTAAAATGTGTGGAATTCAGTGCAAACTGAACAGCTGACTGAGTAGACCTACTTTAGAAGAGAAGTCATCCTTCTAGTTCCAAATCAAGTATGCAGACTCAGTATAAGGTCTATATTGTCCCATTCCAAGGATTTCCTTTATTGTTTAAAAACATCAAAAGAAAAAAAGAAAAAATCTTCAACCCAAGTTTCTTTCTGAATGTGATCGTCTTCTAGGCTTTTCCTTTAACAAGATCATACTGCAACATCCTCAAAATCTGTTCCTGTTCCTTCTGCTTTTGAACGAGAATCAAACCCCTCTTACCTCAGCTATGAGAATTTGCTTGACATGACACTGGAATGAGTCAGCAAAGTGATTCTGGCTAGCCCTGCAAGGTGCTGTAATCTGGCACACTTACCTAACTAACCTCCCACTAATTAACTAAGGAACTTCTACCTTTCACATGATTTAGCCTATAAAATATAAAAATACATTTTAGTGTATATAACGTTGATAATTACTGTGTCTTTTATGATTATGGTAGTTACACCAGTATTGCATAATTATATGATTATAATGCAAGTTGATCTGTTAGCATTATTTGGCTGTACATGGCCATTGCAACACAATATTCCATCATGTCATTGTGATGAAAATACAATCAAAGCTAATTCTGTGTTCAACTACACAACAGTCTATGGTAGACGAAAGCTGCCCTGGATTGTCATCTGTCATAAACATCTTTCACGTAGCAACAAGGAAGATATTTGGGCTATCTAGCCAAGGGGAAAGATGCAATGTACAAGGGTATGATGAGCTGGATGGATAGGTTTGCCTTTCAACAACAGTGCTTTCTTCTCCTGGCTGTCATAATTTGTGCTGATAATATCATCTGTTTCAAAAGTTCAGTGACAGTATTATAGATGATATTGTGATCCTTTTTGTACTTTTAGAAGGCTGAGACACTAAAGGGCACAGGAAGGAAAAGTGAAGCATACAAACAGAACGAGAATCAAGAACAAGGCAGCCACTCTTAGCAAAGTACCTAAAACATCCCTTTGCATTGCTTAAACAAATTAGAAATTATCACCCTTCTGATAGTTTTCTTTACATGTTTTGTAAAGAGCTTCATTAGCAAAAGGAGAAAAAAGGCATTGTCTTACATGAGCTATCAAAATTGAAGTCAAGGTTGTAATTAATTAGGTGAACTGTCAGATTACAGCAATAGCTTTTATGTCATCTTTCTGTTACTTATCTGTATTACTTATATGATCTTTATCATTTTACTTTCAGGAAAAAATGAAGATGAACATTTAGTTGTAGAAATCATGAGAAGACGTTTTTCTCCTGCTCTTATAACTAACAAGTCCTGGGAAATGTTTCACTTTGTTGGCCACCAGATAAAAATTACAGAAGCCACTGACTGTTATGGGGCAGTAGTGTGGCCATCGGTACAGTATTATTATGCACTATTATTGTTGTTTAGTGCACTAAAAGCCTCTAGCATTTTAAATTGCTTTGCATAACAATGCTGTTTGCTGAATCTTGTAAAATCAAGGGGAATGTTTTTCTGCATTTTCTTTGCTTCTGCTGTGCAACCCAGAAATCCTTTTATGTTAGCTCTGTCAGTGGGAACTGGCTTTGCATCCATAGAATTAATCACTGACTTGCTGAGTCCACAGGGCTTCCTGGTTTCTTTGCTGAAGACTTAGATAAAGGCGTTTTCTCTCTCTTTCTTGAGAGACAAGAAAATTCAGTTTGTTTGATCTTAAAGTCTAGTCTGTGTCAATGCCTCTCATTTCCTTCTTAACCTTTGATAAACGAAACAAAGAACAGAGCTTTTCTGTACAGTTTGGAGCACTTATAAATGCTTTCCAACTAGTCATCACTATTTCAAGGCGATAAGAGGAATTGGCAACAGTCTCATTTGTTGTCCCTTTTCATGGGAACAAGGGAATCTTGTACCCGAGGTGGCATCTACCTTTTACCAGAACTTGGAAATAGTTCTCAACTTTTGCCCCAATCTGTTTTTGCATATGAAGTAGAGGTAGTAATTTTTGCTTCAGCAGTGAGCTAAACTATTACGTAGAAACCACCCCACACAACGGCTGCCTTTTTGTGGGGGATTGGGCCACATTACACCCCACTCTACTCACATAGTTACCAGTCCTCAGTAACATTGCTCCTCCTCATCTTTGCCAGACAAATGATGGAGCAAATTTACTAGCCAGACTCCATGATGATCCTATTCTGCCAGTGCGTTGGGACATATTCCACCCACCAATAGCTCAGCTCCCCTCAAGACATCCAACATGGTCCACATTTTCAAAACCTTAGTTACTTGATGGCACGAAGAATGGTCAGCACAAGCACCAATCAATCACCACATCATCTCTGACCATACAGTCAGTCAACCAAGATTCAACTGGCTATGCTGTTATTGGGCACTTCTAAACCATTTTTGAACTGGACAGGGTCATTGTGCCTCAAACCTATACCAAAGGGCCCTTCACAATAACAGCAAGTGCCCTCGTGGACAAGCTCAAACCATGTCCCACATTATTGACTCATGTCCATTTACTATGCTACCTGGTGGCTTTCAAGCTCTTCACACTGCTGATGACATCCCCTTAAGATGGCTGAAACTATATGCCAAAACCACATACGCTAAATAAATGTTGAGGATACGTTGTGGGAAGCAGGGAAAGAAGCAAATCTAAAAGGATACTTTGATCACAGTCTGTAAGGTATATGGATGGGAAGGAAGCTAGAGAGGACTCTTTAACTTGGCAGACAAAGCTGTAGCAGAATCTAATGTCTGGAAATTTACACTAAGAGCAATGAAAGTGAAAATAAAGAAATATGGGTTTTATTCCTATCTCCATCACATGCTTTTTGGGTGAGTTTGGGCAAATTTTTCTAGCAGTCTGTGCCTAAAGGCTCTACCTCCATACAATGGGGATAGTGATACTTCCCTATAGGACAGGGGAGGATGGAATGGGGTCACATGACAATATCTGATACTTGTGAAATGCTTTGAGAATCTTGGATGTTACTGAAGTATAAGGTGGTATTATTCAGTGGCTGTGACTGATTATGCTATTCCATAAACTGGGAAGTAGAACCAGCTGAGGTCATCCACTGGTGGGAATTAATGGGAGGAAGAGTCTCCAATGACTGGGTGGTAGCTTCTTGAAAAAGCTGGAGTTGAAAATGATTGTGCTTAGACATGAATTCAATTGCATTAACGTTTCATTTTGTTTTAAAAAAATCTATATGCATGTTTCACAAAGGACAGTGATTGCGGGCCAATGGATTTTTGTGTGTGTGCGCAGTTTTTGTTTAATATGTTTCCTGTTCTTTTACCCTTATAGGCTCTTGTTCTGTGTTACTTTTTGGAAACAAATTCTAAACAGTACAGTCTGGTTGATAAAAATATAATTGAGATTGGAGCTGGAACAGGGCTTGTCTCTATAGTGGCCAGTTTACTTGGTAAGTACATGCTATTGCTTTGCTAATGTTGGAACTTAACTAAGATGAATATTGGTAGCTATTGCAACTGGTGGGTACAGCAAACTATTTAGTTCCTCTAATATATTTGAAAGCAACAAAGAGGAGGGGGAATTCAGAAAGACTTTCAATAACTTTGTAAATCTGTTCTGCTGTGATTTGTATAGTGTCATTGGCCTTCACTTTCAAATAGATTTATATGGGAGATTAGGGACTGTTCAAAGGTGTTTTTTTTAGAGAATTCTTGCATAAATGGTGACCTGTGAAAACAGAAGACTGGACTTGATAGCTAAAGAAACCTCTTCCAGTCTCATGGTTCAGTAGAGGAGGCTGATGTCCTGTCCAGTGTTAAACAGAAGATGGAAATAAGATGTTTTTGGTATAAAACTTTATTTCAGGGCAGGAAGTTTGAGGCATTAGAAGTTAAATTCAGGTGTGGTCTCTTTCAGGAGTAAATTATGCAACCCTTTGGTAGCTAAAGCCATTTCTGTTTTTTGTGTCTTCCATGTTGACTCAAGTAATGCCCATTATAATTTCTCTCCTGATTGCTTGTTCTTTAATAAGAGCAAAATGAATCACTAGCCATTCCAATCTAATTGAAGAGCCTTTTGTTTTGAAATTATATGAGAAGAAAATAGACTAGAATGACTGCCAAATCCCCAGGTGTCTGGAAAATTGATGGAAAATTCGATCTCTTCACATGTATGTAGGATCATAGGGAAGTAGGATTGAAAGGGACCTCATAAGGTCTCCCCTGCTCAAGGCAGTATTGTCTCTGACTAAACCATACCAGTCGAATGTTTGTCCAACCTGATCTTGAAAATTTCCAAGGATGGAGATTCCACAACTTCTCTAGATAGCCAATGCTTGACCATCCTCATAGTCCAAAAGTTTCATCTAATCCTCCATCTAAATTTCCTCTGCTGCAACTTAAGTCCATTGCTCCTAGTCCTGTCCTGTACAGCCACAGAAAAAAGCCTGTTTCCATACTATCTAAAGCTGTCCTTCGGTATTTGAAGACTGTTATCTAATCCCTCCTCAGTCTTCTTTTCTAGAGACTAAATAACCATAGCACTTTCAGTCTATCTGCATAAACCATGCTTTCCATACCACTATTAATTTGTTTTTGTTTTCCACTGGACTCTTTCCAGTCTGTCCACATATAGTGTCAAGAGCCTTACTAGGTCAAAGTGCATTACATCCATTGCTCTACCCCCATTTACATAAAGAAAATATTTCATACAAACGATGATATTAAGATGCAACAAATGTAGAACCCTCTCTTCTGCACCTCCCCCATGCTATATGAGTCACCTTGCTGAGCAGAAGCATACTTTAATGAAGTATGTATGTGTGTGTATGTATGTTGCATGAGAAACCTAAGAGATATTTTGATTAAAAAATACTGTGAACTTTTATAGGTATATTATATCTCTATATTTGAAGAGATCTGGAAAAAAAATGAGTTGTGCAAAATGATTTCTGTACAGATATTGCTCAAGTCTTAAAATATATTCAGCAGTTAATATAACTTTACCTTTGTTGTAGGTGCATATGTGACTGCCACTGATCTGCCTGAAGTGGTTGGAAACCTTCAGTACAACATTCTTCAAAACACAAAAACGAAATGCAAGCATCAACCACAAGTTAAAGAGCTGTCATGGGGTGTTGATTTAGAAAAGAACTTTCCCTGGTCTTCATGTCAGTTTGACTACATCATGGCTGCTGATGTAGTGTACTATCATCCCTTCCTTGATGAACTCCTCCTCACCTTTGATCACTTGTGCAAGGATAACACTGTTATTCTATGGGCTATGAGATTTAGGCTGGACAGAGAGAATCAGTTTGTAGGCAGATTTCAGGAACTGTTTGACCTGGAGGTACTGTCTGATTTCCCAAGTTTAAACATAACATTGTATAAGGCAATGAGAAAAAGCAAAAAGGAAGCATGATAATTCAACTTGAATTATGTGTGTGTGTTGGTGGGACTAGAATATTTCACAGCTAGTTATTTAAATAGGTTCTATTTTAACAATTGCAGAAGCCTTAGTGGATAGTATTTTAGAGAGAAACTGATGCTATGACATAAGCAAAATATCAATTCCTTTATATACCTGGAAAGAAATGCTAAATTGAATTTCCAACTAGTGGAACTTATAGACAAATTTCTATTTAGCAATTTATTCATATTATGGAATGAATGATCCACATAGCAGTAGTACTGTTGCCAACAGGCCTTAGTTACTGTTTACAACAGCACCCGACGAGATTGGAGACCATAGGAAGCATAATGCTATAGTAAAATCTTTCTTTTTAAAAGTTATCGCATCAAATTGCACTCTGCTCACCTCACTGTGATCCACACTGTTAAGAGTCTCTCTTTTAATAGCTCACAAAGGCCAATAAGGTTGACTGGAAAAAGTACAATAGTGAACAAGTACCTACTGATAATAGCGGAGAATGTGATCCACTAAATACTTTCTGTATAATTTCTATGATTCATTGGTTGATCATCCTTCCTTGTACTTTCCAAATGTCAAGGATGTTACAGAAGAGTAATATCAGGAATGGACTGTAAGATAAGCAGGGAGTTTAGCAACTTACTACTTGGGGAAAAAATATTGCATAAGGATATTACAACATATAACCAAGCTCTGGTTCTAAAAATATCCAATCCTTGGAGCTTTGCTCCTCTCAAAATCTACCACTGTGGATCTGTCTCTGAAAGCACAACAATGTGATACTGCTCAATGCCATAAATAGAGAGAGGTAGTTAGCGATGTTGGTCTGAAATTAGGCAGAAGGCAGGGCAGTGTGTTATCTTATGGATTAACTCATTCAGAGAGGTATGAGCTTTCATAGGCTTTAGACTACTTTGACAATGAAGCCTAAGCTTATACTTCTTTGTATGAGTTGGTCTGTGAGGTGCCACATTTCCATGCCTTCTGCCAAAATGCCATAAAGTAGGGGTGTCAAAGATAGAGCTTGTGGGCTGGATGCAGCCTGGGAAGCCCCATCCTCTGGATCTTGGTACTGCCCCTGGTTCTGGAGTTGACCCACACAATGCATATGGCATGCCAGATTGGCTCTGCCCTGGGTGGTCTGGGATCTGTGCTTCATACAGGATCTGTGGTGCCCACACCAGCTGGTATGGGATGCACACTGCATGTGACACATCCCCCTGCACCCTGTTTGGCTGCTCTGGGAAGGGTGCTGTATGCAGCACAGGTCTTTGACTAGCCACAATGGGTGCTGTGTATGGTGCTTGTCCTGGGCTCGCCCAGCACATATGACATGTGCAACACAGTCCTGAGCTGGCTTGAGCAAGTGCCATGTGTGTTGGATCCAGCATGGTTGGGGAGAAGGGATGAAATGGTTTATGGGCCTGATCTGGCCTCAGGGCTGGCCATGCACCATTCATCCAGTCCATGGACCAGCCCTGCACCACGCTTCTGGTCCATAGGACCAGTTGAGTTTGCCACCACTGGATCTGGATAGCTTATAGAGCACTGTTTCTCAATCTTCTTAGACTGAAGGCACCCCCGTGGAAAATGCCAGATTAAATGCAATATTAAGTACACAACCCTCTGGGTTCTCTATATATACAAATAGGTGTGTGTGTGTGTGTAAAATTGAACCCAGAGGGGTGTGTGTGTGTGTGTTTAACCCAGAGGTGTACATGCACACATACATACACCCCCCAGTGTGGTTGAATTAGTCTCTGACTAATAATGAATAATAGAAAAAAAAAGTCCAGAATGATCTTAATACTACATCAACAAGTGGACAGCAAACAATAAATGAAAATCTTACAAAGAAAATATTAAAAATCACAATATATGAACATCTTACTGTTCCTCAGTGATGAATTAGCTGCAGACCATCTTAGGGATGGCTGCAGTTTTGCCATCCCTAAGAATTTCTTCACTTTGTTTCAGGTTTTGATGCTCAATTCTTGACATTTTGCATCTGAAACTCCAGCTTATGCAGGATCTACCACACTCTTACAAGGGCTATTCAAACTTCTGAGAACTGCTTTCACTGCAGATTGAATCCATCTTCTCTGAAGCCTCTGGATAGATCCAGTATATTTGTGCTGTTTGTTTCTTCTTTCCAGAAGGCGCCCAGAGCAGGATGCATATTTGTCCGGCTGAGAAAAAAGTTATTAACATTCCCTTCAACGCTTTTCAGTTTTCAGGACAGCGAACAGATTTGCCCTCTGCCAGCAGGAGCCAATCCTGATCAGTCGATGTTTTCAACAGGACAGTCTGTTGCAGTTAGAAATGACCCTGCCCTGTTCACAGAGAGTTCTCTCTGAACATGGATCCCACCTGCCACATGCACCCTTAAACCTGGTTAAACCTCCTGTCCTTCAGTGGTACGCCCCCCAGGGCCAGCAATCACCACCATTACGCCACCAAGCTTAAGGCGGGGGGTCTCACTGACCTTCCCAAGATGGACGCTTTTTGAAAAGTTCCCTTGTATAGTACAAGGGGGGTTACAACTACAGAAAAATACTAGGGCACTTCTGTTGTAAAGAACTCAGAAAGACCACAGAAGGCCTTTGTTCTGACAAGGACAAAGTTTTTGGTGGCAGAGCAGTTCAGGCACCTTGTTGTGGCTCTTGCGGTATGAGTTTGAGCCCTTCTTTGGTCTCATGCAAAAGACTGACCCTAGTTGATTTGGCCGTGAACAAGCACCTGGTCATTCAAGCTGGGGAGTTAAGGGTAGCTGGAACTGTTGGTGAACATATCCCTCCTTTTATGCCATAGGCTATAGAAACTGGCATACCTTTACTGTCCTAGCTCCATGGGTTGTTAAATTTGGGCAGATCTTTGATTTTTGATGCAACTGAGGTGCTTCTAGCCTACCACTTCTATCCCTACAGACTCCAACCTTCCCCAGAGACTGGAGATGTCTCCTTATCAGAGACTATAGCTTTCCTCAACAGCTGTAATATTCGTGACAACTTTTGCTGTGACCAGGAGTAGTTTAATATATTTTGTAAAGCATCCTAAACAAGTGGCTGAATTAAACAGAATTTAATCACAATTACTGCTTTTGTGACAAATATTTATTATATTATCTTGTAAATCTTTATTATATTTATTTTTACGGCTAGGAAAATGAAGGGAGAAAAATTAAGTGGCTTGACTAAGACCTGTGAATGACAAGCCAGTATTGTCATATAGGGATCATGAGTTTGTTCTTAATTCTGCCCTTATGTTCCCCTAGAACATACTGCCTTTCATGTTCCTGAGGTTTTCTTTGTGATCCAGGGACATGTTGGATGTCAACAAAGGAGACAACTCAGCTGCAAACAGCCAGCAAAGAAGGGAGATTTGTGATTAATCCTAAAGCAATTAGTATCTGTAAGCACAGTTCAGGTGGGTTGTGAGCAAGGGATATTGAGAGCAAGGACCATAATCTGATTTTCTCTTTCTAGTGGCAGACCATAGTAAAAGTCTAGGGCTGGTTGACTTGGCTGGGGAGAAAATTAATGACTCAGAATTTCTAGGAAATAATGGAAATCTTTCCATCCTAGCAAATCTATTTATGTTTCTAAGGTGCTCTGCACTAGGAAAAGAGCTCAAATTTTCTTAATAGAAAAACAAATGAAATATGGGAGACTCTCTGTCATTTCTAGAATTCTTTTAACTCCTGTGGGTATGTGGCTGCAGTCCTGGCATTTCACAGCTCAGCTGTGCTTGGAAACATTTCATGGTCAAATAAATGGACAGTATTGGTGTTTACTAGGAAAGAAATGATCAAGTTATGTCCAAACTGAAGCCTACTCGGTGGAAAGTTCTTTGGAGAAGAAAAGGTTTTGTGCAAGACGAAAATGGAAAGCTCCTTTTTTATTGCTTTTTGTGTTTAAAAAAAAAAAAAAAAAAAAAAAAAAA